CCAAGGATAATGTCCCATTCATAGAGAACATCCTGATTTTCCTCTGAGAAGGCCTTGATATCCCTGAGGAAATGATTCAAGTGTGAAACATAAATATCTTTTGCCTTTGGAGATACCCTACAGTATCCTGGCAAAGGGCAAACATAAAGGCGCATGCAGCCAGCAGCGACTGGAGGTCAAGTGAGATACCCTAAGGCACATCAAATGGTCTAGACATCTGTGCTTAGACTTCTGACCTGCTCACTGTGGGGGTAGCTGTATGTCAGTGTCGTACACACAGCATGTAAGTTAGGGCAGCTACCTAAGCATGGTGTCCAGCTTAAGTTCATATCCCTTGTTCCTTAGTAGACATTGTTAGGAAGCATCTTCTTAATACGGTCCAGTTCTGCTCTCTCAGCTGCCCACTCCCAGCCTCACTTTGTGCTTTGTTGCCTTTCCAGAATAGAAATCTTGCAGAAAGGAAGAATCACAGATTCACAGAATCTTCAGAGTTGGAAGGGACCTCTAGAGATCATCTAGTCCAACTCCCCTGCTAAAGCAGGATTGCCCAGAGCACATTACTCAGGACTGCATCCAGGTGGGTCTTGAAAATCTCCAGAGAAGGAGACTCCACCACCTCCCTGGGCAGCCTGTGCCAGTGCTCTCTCACCAGAACTGCAAAGAAGTTTTTTCGTGTATTGGAACGGAACTTCCTGTGTTCCAACTTGCACCCATTGCCCCTCGTCCTGTCACTGGGAACCACCAAGAAGAGTCTGGCTCCATCCTCCTTCCACCCACCCTTTAGATATTTGTAAGCAATAATAAGGCCTCCCCTCAACCTTCTCTTCTCCAAGCTAAAGAGTCCCAGCTCTCTCAGCCTTGCCTCGTAAGGGAGATGCTTCAATCCCTCAATCATCTTGGTTGCCCTTCACTGGACTTGCTCCAGCAGTTCCCTGTCCCTGTTGAACTGGGGAGCCCAAAACTGGACACAGTATTCCAGTTGTGGCCTCACCAGTGCCGAGTAGAGGGGGAGAATGACCTCACTCGATCTGCTGTTCACACTCTTCCCTATGCAGCCCAGGATTCCATTGGCCTTTTTGGCGACAAGGGCACATTACTGGCTCATGGATAATTTATTATCTACCAGGACCCCAAGATCCTTCTCCTCAGAACTACTTCCCAGCAGGTCCACCCTTAACCTATACTGGTGCTCTTGAGTTACCTTCTCTTGAGTTACCTGCTCTTGAGGTTACCTTCACCTTGCCTTGCTCCCAGCACTTGATATACATGAACCAAAACAAGAAGAAAGAGAGATTATTTAAATTTCCATCTGGAATAATCCAGCAACAAGTATTTATTTCCATGAGCAGGGAAGTGTATGGTACCCTTCTGGTCCACACATTTCCTCCCATGTGGTTCCTTCCCTGGAGCATCTGTACATTTAAGCAATGCTTTGCTTAAACACATGACTCTAAAATTTGCTAATTGATTTATACACATAGCTAGGGCAGGTCCAGAAACAGCACAAATGTGTTCACCTGGTTCTCTGCTCAGGTTTATGTACTAACAATGGCTTTTTTAATGGAACGGCTCACAATAAAGCAGCACCTTGAGAGTACATGTGAGAGAATATATGTAGGTTGTAGCATAATAACATGATTGTTATTAATATTACCATAATGTCAAGGGATCAACAAAGAGTTAAACACTACAAGTTACACACAGCACATGCCAGTTTATCTCTGTGGTGGCCACCTTAATAAAAATAGATGAAGAAAGATTAAAGCTCTCGATTTGTTGCATATCTCGTCATAGGCAGCTGCTTTTGTCTTTTTATGTTCTCTCGAAATTAAACAAACATTGACTGTATTTACTGTCTTTGTATCTATACAAATACATGCCTTTTCAAAATTGATGTGAGTCAAACTCCTTTACTCCATTGACAGTAATAAATTTTTTAAGAAGAATTAATTTCATGCATTTGGTTTCTTGCTTTCTTGATTTTTCTAGCATGTGTCAGAATATTCTTTAACTGCATATATCACTGATATCTTCTGGGAAACTGAAACCAGACTGTCTCTGCTGAACTCAGGAAATTGCAAATGTCCTTGAGGCAAAAGAAATGAAATCAGGAGGCCATGAAGTTCCAGCTTACACTTCCATTTGAATTGTGCTCTGCCGTTCAGTTCTTAAAGACTGACTCGACAGAATAAAGGCTCTACCAGTGCATAGTTAATGGAGAAACATGAAACGTGGATCCTTTCAGGAAAACATGATAACATTAATGCATCTCTGCATTCAACAGAGAAACCTTTTGTTATAAAGAATCCAAATCTGGTTTTATTTTCTCAGATACAGCATTGTTAATTAGCAGATATGACAGGCAGCTTCTCTTCTCTCCTCTGGCACTGAGGTTACTGTCTCCTCCCTTTCTTTGTTTTATAACTCAGTTTCTGGGTTCCCCAGTATTTATTTTTAAAAAAAAAAAAAAATCTGTTGATGAAGAGTGCAACAAAATGGCAACAAATGATGGTTATGGGAAGTCACATCAAAGCATCCTGCCAATAGTGAAAGCTTAAAGAAGGCCACAGGGACGGGTGAGGCACATCACAGTAGTGTTCTCTCTGTGCCCAGCTGTCTGCATTTTACTTTCCTCCTGAGCCAGACTTACTCAGATAAATTGACTAAATGTAGTCAGTTTAGTCAGATACATGTGATTTGATGTGCCTCTCTGCAAGGGAAACAATAAAATCTGAGCTTTTAACCTTAGGCTTTCTTTATAATCAATCGAGTCATGGCTTTGATTTAACCTCTACTAAAGAAGACAACGAAAATAAGAAGGATATATCACACTCTTTTGTCTTTTGACTATAGATTGAACCTAAACCTTCTTCTCAAAGGTCTAGGGTTACCTCATTGGATATACAAAGTTGGGCATGGTGGGTTTCTTAGTGTTTAGTATCCTTTGATGGACTTGGTATACATACATACACATATACATGTTTTGAACTCCTCTAACATTTAACATCCACAATATCAAGATGAAAAAGGTTCTGCAGGTTAACATTTCCTTTTGCTTATTTGTAGCCTGCTTGCATTGACAATATATATTGTAACTATATTATTATTATTATTATTATTATTATTATTATACAGCTTTTCTAATCTGCGTATACTGAACTGTATAGAAATTGCCACGTTCATGTACCAAGACAACCCTGGACACTGTTTTCAGGTCTGGGCAACTGTGGAGAGTAAACCAGTCCTAGCAGCAGAAGCCTCATTTACTTCCTATTTCCCTTTTATCTTTTTAAAAGATATTCTAAGAACTTGAATGTCAGCCAATGCAATTTTCCCAGTCTTTGGCGAGGTTTAGGGGATGATGTAGCAAAAGCTCTTATGTTCTTGGGAGATCCCAGAGATCTGTGACAATATATATTTTCCAGGCCCTTGGGGGCCCTTTGAACAGAACAGTGTTTGTTTTGAAGATAAACAAATTTAATATGGTTATGCCTGGTACATCCCATGGGGAAAATAGCTGAAATTTATTATTGGGATCTTGGAGATGAAACTGTGTAGCATTATCAGTTCCTACAAATGGTGAGTAATGCTTTCCATTTGAAGGGTGTTAGGGAACCCTCTCTGTCTTTGAAATAGGAGTGACGGCTTCTAACTGTTCCAAGGTCAAAAGTGTGCAAATGGCTCCATGCCTCCTAGCACAAGCAAAAGCACCACCAAACTAGGACTACTCGTGCCTTGGGATTTTACTGTAAGTGTGTACTGAGTGTGTGGTGGTAGTTCGACGCATTAGTGACCCAAACTGTTCACTCCGTTCCCTCTATTGGGATGTGAGGGAAGTAGTTGACCGGTGAAGCTGGGGCTCTGAAGCAGATTGAATTCAGGTATTGCTTTCCCTGTTTGCTTGTTCTTACTTAGCAGGTAAGGGAAAACAGACAATTTGGCAGGTACATTCTGCTTCCTCTGTAGTGCTCCATCGCCAAGAGTGAAGGAAATGGGATGGCGAACGTGAAAGAGCAAAATTGCTTGCAGAGAGCCAGGGTGACCTACCGCATCTTCAACCAGTGCAGTGATTTTCACGGTGCTTTCCACACAGCGTGATTTGAACTCTAGCAGTGCCCCTATAAAATAATCTAATTAAACCTGAGTTTCTATTATTGTATTTCCCCTGAATTGATATACCCTGACCACTTTCTACCACAGGAATGAAATCTTGTATTGATTTCTGGGAATGGGTCCCATTCTTTGTTGCTGCTTTGGGATTGCCTACATTCTGTTGGCTGCAGTGTTCCTGTCACAGACTCATTTATCTCTTTTTTTTCTATTTTCTTTTCCTTGCAGTGGGCTGCCTTAGAGACTTAAAGTTAGGGGAAAAAAAAAAAAAGAAAAAAAAAAGATTTGGATCAAGTCATCTCAGTTTAATTGGCATTGAATTCTTTTTTTGGCAAGAAAGCAGACTTTTATTCACTGGGAATAAAGAAGGAAACATTAAGGAATGGACAGGCTGAAAGACTAAGAGAAAGAGCTTTTAATTTAGTTTTGAGTCCTGAGTGAGGTTAATGGATTGTGCAAGACTCATAAGAAACTGTTGGAAGATCAAAGTGAGGCTCAATTGATTTCTGATTCCTCTTTAAATTAATTCTTTAATTAGAGGTACCTTTGCTTCATCCTTATATAAGGAAAGGAATACAATAAAAAAACCCAAGAAACAAACATGTTAGAAATTATGCTTTGACAGGGAGAACAACATAACCCCCCCCTCCCCCCCAAATTTATGAGAATTATGATTCTATTGTTTGACTTTAAGCCTGCTGTAAGGGAAAAAAAAAAAAGACAAAAAAAAAAGGAAGAAAAAAAGAGAAGTTTGTTGCAATTTTCCTTCGTCTTCCACAGATGTTTTTATTTCTTTTAGTTTTTGAAATGGGACCTCAAAACTTACTGACGTTTCCTGATAAACTCACTAGCTATTTTAAATTTGTAATTGTTCTTTCCCCACATTTCAGGTTACAGCAACCCATTCCAACTGCATCATTAAAAAGGAGCAAGAGACATGTCTGGAGAAGATACGGAGGGCAGCTGCCCTGAACCCTCTCAATGATTCTTCTCCAGGTGAGTTTCATCTGGGGATAGATCATATACATTGAGCTGATGGTTTCTAAACCTTTCCTATCATGTCTGCTGGGGTTTTCAGCAATGTCAATGCAAACATCTTACGGTAAGAGGTGCAATCACTGCAGCTGAATGAGCGTAGAGAAACATTACAAGGACAAAAAAAAAAAAAAAAAAAAATCAATCAATGGGGATGTACCAGAACAATTGTTGGTTATTATCAGAGGTCAGGAATTTGCTTCTGTACTTTAGATGATGCAGTGACATATATCTACAAAATTAAACTGGGGGGAAAAAAAAATAAAAAAAAGGAAAGAAAAAAGAAACAGTGTGCCTGGAAAGGCCTTGATAGTGTTTATGTCTTCTGTTGGGGCAGGTGGCAATAGCTATTGACAAAAGACTAAGTGCATTACCAGTCTCTTCTGCAACAGCTCATTCCCCTTCATCAGCTCAGCAATAATTTGTGCCTTTCTCACATGATCTGAAGACCTTTGCAGGGATTAACATTGTGGAGACCGTAATCTTGATGAAGATTACTTGTGCTATTGCTGAGATAAGAAACTGAGGCAGCAACCAATGAAAAAATTAATAGTTTAATATCCTGTCTCATTTCCCACTGACTGCAGCTGGAGCTGCCTATGGCCAGCACCAATGAGAGAAGGGCAAAGAATGACAAAGAAACTAATTGGAAAACAGAGTCTATTTCCTGAGTCCTGTCCGAACTGCTTCTACTGTGACTGGAATTGGTAAAACTGCAGAGAGAAGCAGATAAAACACATTGAGGGTGTAATAAAAGATGGGAGATTTCTCTCCTCTTTTCCTCACCACACATTTTAGCCCAGAAGAAGGGACGGCAGGGTGCAGATCTCTGTGTCACCAGAGCATCCTCTGAAGCTAGCCATTTCTGCATTTCAGCTGTTAGGAGTATTTCTATCAGAGTCCTGCTCTTTATCTCATACATAAGCCCATTTTTTGTTCTGCTTCTCAGCTTTGGGCAAGTGAACTGTGTGCTTTGGAGGAATTGATGAAAGCATGTACTTCAGGCAGTTCATTTCAGCCCCAGGGGTGTGTTTTTGAGACCCTTTTTGTGCATTACAGAAAAGCTTCCCAATTCTTCCCTGATCCAGAAGTAGCATAAGTAAGGACAAAAGGAAAAAAAACTTTCTCCTCCCCCAACCCCAGAATGATGTCACAAGCTGACCGTGAGCCCTACTTCTTATGATTATGAAATTACTATTATTTGGATTCAAGAATTCCTAGATTTTCCTAGGTCAGAACAGACCATTTTAGCTATTTTTTTCTTTATCACTCAAATCCAGAATAACCCTGATATTTGGGGGACTATTCAGATAGAAGTCATGTGTCTGCCCTGCCCCCCCCGCCCCCCAAGCCTGTTCCGAATTCAAAGAGCACGGCTCAGAGATAGAGGAGGTCCAGAGCCATTGGAAAAGCTTTTGCATCTCAATGTGATTAAAATGTGTCACCCTCTCTGGCAGGAAGGGACTGAATCCTTTCAAGCACTAGCTTAGCAGCAGAGAACCCAGCTGCTCTTTATTCTGTTCCCCCAATATTTTTGTATTGAATCACTGTAAAGATTTTCCCAGGCTCACTGTGTATCTTTTAGTTGTTCACCACATCCCATGGCAACAAGTTCCACCGTTTACCTGGCTTTGGGTAAAGAAGTCATGTCCCTTCAAAGACATTTATTTTCCAGTGAAGAATTCTGGCAATTTCTTTTTTGAAAGCTATTTCATCGTGGATCCTGTTTGTTGCCCTTTCTTTCTACATTTTTGAAATTATTGTAGACATGTTTTACATATATTTCATTTCAGCTCCGGGACTCCACTCTATTCCCATTAAGTCTTGACCTTCCAGGCTCACCTTTCATTACATCGTACTTATTTCAAGGTATATCCTGCCACTCTCATTCCCAACAAAGCTTTATCTCCATATTTAAAGGATGGAACATCACCCGAGCTCTTCCACCTTCTTACTGTTTGCTCAATGTCATTGAGATACTACTTACTCTGTTTTGAATGACACCTTATTGCTGCCTGCTAATGAGAGGATACAAACACCAGATACTCCCGACAAGGTGAATTCACACTCTGCAGTATTTGGGAAGATACCACAAGTATCTGTTTTCTCTAAAAGCACTTTTGTCCCTGGTCTGTTACTGGAATGGAGCACTATTCACCACAGCTGAGCCTGGCTTTTAGTTTAAGTTATCATGCACTGTTTGGAGAAGTTTCATTACGAAACTCCCTGAAGAAGTTGTAACTGCAGTCAGATTTGCAGTGTGTTGATTCCTCCCAATTTTCACCTGCTGCAGACAACCTATTTTTCACTTGGGAGAAGTGAAAATTGCCCAACATTTGGTTTTTGTTATTCTTCTGTAGCAGTAAGACTTACTAATGATGGCAGGTAGTGAAGAAATATGTTATTAGCTTGTTTCCCTTCAAAGAAAGAGAAACATAGGAAATAATTCCCTTGCTTGTCAGAAACAGCTGAAAGAAGGAAGAAATCCCTCCTGGCTGGTGAGTAAACGTCTATTTATTCAAGAGCAAGGAGAAGCATAAAACCACTTCTTCCCCCTTTTGACTACTTCTGCATGCAAATTTCCACAGAACAATTCAATATATAAATTTTCTGAGGATTTATTTCTCCTCAGAGGAGCTGCAGGGTATAAACTGGGATTGTCAGTTTTTAGAGTCTGTAGAGGCTTAGGCACATGTTCAGGTTACTGTGGCTTAAAAAAAAAAAAACAATCCTCCAAATCAGCTGAATTACAGCAACCTCTGTAAGTGAGGTAACTCCACATTCTATTGCAGGTGACACAAAGTCAAATGATCATGTATACAACTTGAAGTCTGGGATATGAACAGTCTTTGTGATCTGTATTTCTACAGTATCTAGAACAATAATGTCACAGATCAAGAATCCTACTCCAAGGTGCCCACATGGTGCAAAAAATAATAATGGTAATAGTAGTTTCTCTGCTCTTGTTTAGAGACCTTGTCTTCTGCACTGATACTTCTGCCTAAAAATACTGCATGAAAAGCAATGCACTTTGAAGCCAAAAGAAGAAGAACGTCTTATAGGTTCCTACATTTTGCAGTAGTTCAACTCTCCTGCCTTCACTTTGCCCCCTTGCTGTGTTCAGCGTCTGTGAACACAGACATAAACTAAATGCTTCCCCAGAGCTCCTCTGGGTGAGGTCCAACAACACAAGCACAATGTAGATGCTGCAACTGCAACCACAGGTCTTGAAGAGCAAGGCTGGCACTATATTATGGAAAGCATCCAGCCCTGAATTAGCGCTCTGATGTTTTCTCCTTTCCCTCCCCCTCTGCCTCTCATGCCCAGATGTTATGCTCATTACTGTTTTATTCTTCACAGCACTGTTTCTCCTCCTTCTGCTGCTGTGTAATGTCTATAATGCTTCAGAGACAGTGATTGCCTTGAGAATTTCTGTTTCGTTTTTCTTTTCCATGGGTTTTATGATGTCTTCTTCCTCTTAAATGCTTTAAATTCTTCAGGAGCCTTTATATAAGAAGAAATAAGGAACAAGTGCTGACCCTGTGTGTCCATCCCTGTTCAATTGTCACCTACAGCCTGAACGAAAAAGAGAATTTGAAGAAAATAAAATCTCAGCAGGACCCACAATCTGACTCCTTTGCTCTGGAGACAAAATTAAAGTGATGAAGTGAAATAATGAAAGCCAAATGCAGGAAAAAAAAAAAAAAAAAAAAAAAAAGAGGGAGGGGAGTGATTACTTCATACTCAACAACTTCTCCAGGCAGTGGAGCCAGGCTATTTCTTACATCACTGTTTTGAATCTCCCTTGTTTAAGTTTTTTTTCCCTCTTCTCGTGCAGAGCTGCCTCAGTTCCTGTTGGATCTTCTAGCTGTCAGCAGTCCTCAAGGGAATTTCTGCCTGTCAAGAACTGATAAAGCTCACTGCTGATCCCTATGCACCCTTTTTCATTTTTATTTTTTCCCCTCCAGACTGTTGACCTGTTCCCAGCCCTGCAGCTAGGAAGGAATGGCACAGGAGTAACTCAGATGCTGAATGACAGTTTCCTGGGTCATGTACACTTAACATGGGATTCATCTAATTAAGTGTTTATGCCTGCAAATGCATCTACACTACAAATGAGCAAGTCACCTTGCTCATTTCGTAGCTCTGAATTTCTAATAAGTAGAGTCTGAGACATACATCATTTCATCCTCAAAGGAGATTAGATGATTCTTTATTTTCTCTATGGAAATTTATGGAAGTAAGGGTGACCATCTCACCTGTATATATTTATGCTGTGGATGTCTACATTTTATCTGACAAATCCTACCCGTAACATCTGGCTCTGTTTTACGGACTAGGTCATGTTAGAGCTCTGGATTACCCAAAATAATATGGACCATGATTTTTACTATGGGATGTTTTGATATGTAGGTGTCTTATTTATACCATCCACATACTTAAATGTAGCAGATCTACTCATACTTGAGTGAGCAGGTTTTGCAATCAATGCTTCCTTGAGTGGTGAGCTCAAAATACAGGCAGGTGTTTAACAGCCTGCACATTCACACTTGCCCCATGGAGGCACTGACAGAGAGAATATCCCAGCTGCCTTCTGCTTCCAGGCATGCTTGTATCTCATGTAGTTGTAATTCCAAGGGCCTCGCACATTTGTCTGCTTTGATCTGGGATCTACTGACCAGTTTCATCTTATACTGTCCATGGGGGCACCAGATCACAGCCAGGAGATACACCACTCAGAGAAATCTCATGATACAAACACCCCTGCTAACAAAGTGTAGAATATTTCTCCACCTGTAGGTTGGCATGATAGACTTTTACCAGCCTGTTCCCTGTCTTGCTTTCCACTGTTGGAACTCGATATTCTGGATTTCTCCCTGAATGTGGTTCTCTCAGTGCCTAAAATGCACTGGTCTGGAATGAGCTGAGGTATGATTATAGTGAACACAGCACAAGAATTT